CCACCCCCCATCATATGTTGAGAGGCTACATAAAATGACATTTCGAGTATCGTTCGACAAGTTAGCAATGAGAAAGGCCTTGGAAAGATTCTTACTCACATAGCCTTGATCCAAGACGTCGTCGCTTAAAAGACTATTCAAAAGCGGCTCAGCAGAAACAGCAATATCTATAAAGATTAATATTACCCCTTTCAAATTGACTAACATTATACATACCCAGGTTCTGCACTTGCCAAACAAAGTGGACGCGTCGCACGTGCGATGTAGATGTATTATATCCGTAGAAAAGCTGCTTCAGATACGGAATGACCCCAGCAATACCAAAATCGGTTGCGATAGCTAAGACGCATTCATATTCGCTGACAGATTTGCTTACTCCATATGGGCCGCTAACAACGGCAGTATATGAAGCGAATCCATCTAAAGCTGCACGGGAATGAAGGGTTCTCGTGAGGCCTCGACGTACTTGAACGAAGAGTTCTAGTACGTCTTGTTTTTCTGGAGACCAAGATGTTACCATGAAAGGATGGACTTGAGCCCAGGAGCACAGGCTAGCAGTAGGCATCCAAAGATTCACGTATTGGCCAGCTTTTACCTTCAGTGGTCGGGACAGGACCACACGAATTTTCAATGTCGCCCCCTCTTGGCCTGCAAACTTGTACGGTTGTTTTACTCTATCACAGGTGATAGATGCTCGAGGATATGGTCTCGGAGGAAGAATCCCATTGCGGAACATGAGAATCGCAATATACAAGACTGTTGTAGAAATAAGAATCCCGAGTGGTACGTAAATATACATTCGTGGATCAAGGCCTTCGGAGGGAAGGTGCCGCCAAGTGGAGTATATGCACACGGCAGCAAAAGCTTGATGCGCTCGAAGATAGACCTCAAAAAAAGATCGGCGGAAAAATGGAATCGATAGTAAGACGATCGCTGCCACTGAAACTGCACCCTTTGATCGTTTAGTTACTAGCCGCGTCTTGGAGATAGACACTTACAATGACGGCAAAAATGTTCCCTTCGTTGCGTAAGTTCCAGGTCTGTCCTTGCACAATCATGACCACTGTGACGTGGAATGAGAGAAGAATAATGGCTAACCAGCCAACAAACCGGTGTATTTGTCTGCAGGTAATCTGTGAGATCCCAAGAATGTCCGCAAAGAGGCTTAGATGCGTTGTGGGAAAGAGCAGGCCCATATTGATCACCGACAGCGTCCCGGCACGACGTCCAGCTATAATTACTGTTGAAACTCGGAATGAAAGGAAAAAAATGTTAATTATAATGTACCAAAGACCCAAGAGGACATGAGCCCGGCTCCAAGGGCCACATAGCTGGTGGCAACCGACTAAATTTGGGTAAATGAGATGTTTAGAAATGAATACCGAAAGATAGTTTGCGGGATCTTTTAGATGAGACGCTATGCGAATAAGGATGAGGATTGCATAAAAGCCACCAATTAAAATAGCATAGTATAGCGAAAGATCCATTGCCTTTCACATTCATTCCTAGATACAGTTCGCTAAAGCAGGATATGAACAGTCTTATACATATTTTCGACCAGGATTATAAGGTTCGTAGCTTGCGTTCACTATATACCTCCTTACACTTTCTAAGGAGGCGCATGGTAAACGGCGTTCATCATCCAGAATATGCGGTTCAAATGGTAAGTGCCCAACGAAAAAAAAAGACTGGGTTTACGGTAGCGCTTTCCCGAAGACGAATTTTTCCTAATGATCGCCCATGTTTTTAGCGCAACGTTCTCAAGAAGCCGATGGCTACGGCGAAGCTCCCACGTAGGCAAATACTCTGCTAATACAAGACAAATAACCCAGATTTTGTACTATTTGGGATCTCTGGACTGTCCAACTGTCCTCACAATTTTACACCCCTACGTTCGGATCATACCGAAGTGTGCTTGCAACTAGGCAGTGCCTCCGACTTTGCAACATTTTGGTTTCACCGACCACAAGCCACCATCGAGAAATCTATGGATGAAAATACTGTAAGCATAATTAACTTCACGTCGTTAAAGTAATTTTCGTGATCAAGTAAACCTCCAAGACTCTCACATAGTTGTTGCCGAAAAATAAATCCGTCATATGTGAGGTCTGAGTAGACAAGGTCTTCCAAGTGTCGTTTCAGATCGTTTTCTGTCTGCGTAGAATTACGATACGATTATACGATTATAGGACCCTGGGGAATGTATTTTACACGGAGACTTACGCACGTTTATGTTTATGCAGTGGGTAGATGCGTGGATGGATGGTGTCATTACCCTGACCGCTCGCGATGAAAAATTAGATTACCCAACTAGGCCAAAATACGCATCCGTACCTAGCCCAGTGGGCTATGGTTATAATCCAACTAACCAAGCGTTATGCCGGCTACAACTATATATAACCGCGTACCAGTATCAACATCTCAACAAAACCACACCATGCGATGTACTCTGTAGATGTACACCAAAAAGGGCTATTGGGCAAGATGGGCAAGATGGGAATAAGCTAAACTGAAGAGGGTATGCAGTTTTTCACTTGACCAATAGCAAAGCGAAAAAATATAGCGTATCAACGAATTCGAGGACCAGAGACTTACCGCCTAGGCGACCACCAATGTGACGGTTCAACTAGAAGGTTTGCCAAGTCCCCAAAAGCAAGGATTCTGCCCTTTTTTCCGCGTCGTCGGACACATAAACAGGCCACATTCCCGCGAGCTCTGAGTTTCCATTTTGCTATCCTCGCCTCTTGCAACTTGACACAGCAGAGCACAATAATTTCAGTATGAAAAGACCCTCACCGAATATAAGAGACACGTACGGTGAAACTGGCCAGTCAATGCTTGATCAGCTATTGGATATACTCTATGCTCGCAATCAACCAATGTCGCTACTCTTCATTCGTGTTGTATTTCAGAGGAAAGTTCGTTTTTTTCTCCTTTCTGATGAGATACAAGAGGCTATATATACATAACGTGGAGCCCAAATTGATTGGAAATCAATTTGGTTCTTCATATAGAAATGCAGGAATTATTTCCGATGTTGCGGCTTTGTTCCTGATGTACACTCGCCTTGTGTCACAACAATTCGCAAATAACGATGCTTTCATATCACTGGGTTTCCTGATATGCCGGAGTCGGAATGCGTTGAAATATTTTCTCAACTACGATCCGACGCTTTCCATCTACAGTTAGAGGGGAAACCACCCAAGGTGTCATCGTTTTTCAATTCGTTCCTAGGTTAAGTGAGCTTAGACGTGCTCAGATGCAACATGAGCGTGATCGAGCTCAGCACCACCTTGATCGAAACCAGCATGAGGCCGTTCAACGACTGCATGACTCCCGAAGCAGGCGTGCCATTCACGCACGGATGGAGAGGCTACGGCGAGGGCGATAGCTATCATCTCGAAACTTTCTCTTCCGGAAGTTACAAACCATACGATGGTAGATCGGTATCACGGTAAACGGTAGATGACGCACCAATACCCTTCTTCCATCTACCGAACGACAAGGAGTAGATGTTTATTCCATCTTATCCTAATTCACATTTTATTCTGCATTTTTACGCCTGAATTTGAAGATCGCTTTTGTGATTTCCATGGCGATCCGAATTAGCAGTCGCATTCTCAAATTAAGGCTCTCATCGATCCTCTGGTCCGGCTTCAGCACTATTCCACCCGATGGCAGGTCTATAAATATCATCCCCCAATCAAAAGGTGAAGCCTATCGCAAAATCAAGAAACATGCACACTAGTATTGCAAGTAGTATAAAGTCCTTCGCACTTAGATCGTTGATAGATTGGATGTCCTCATGACTGGTATTATAATCGTATTGGCTATCGCTATCCCCAACCTGCAAACTGTTCATGGTAATAGGCTAGATAAACCGCATTTGCTTTCCTCAAACCATCCAGCTATTATTCCTTGAGCAAAGTGAACCATACAGGGCCGCCAATGGGATCGATAACGGGTCTAAGTTGCTAAAAGGTTCGTAGCTAAACCAGTAAACAGTGGGATGCACTAACGGCAGTCTGAGTAAAACAGACAGGTCGAGGCACAATAGATATCTACCACAGGGAAAGTAGTGAGAAAGATAACCACCCACCGGAGGACAGTGCTCATCTTAATTAAGAGACAGTACAATCTGGCTAAGAAGATAGCTTCATTGTACAGGATCCTTATTATCCTGAAAGCTCCGTAACCTGTAGGGCAAACAAGAATTCCAAACAAGATCTAAACACCCAAGACAGATCACTGTGATAACAACCTACTACGTGCCAGTCAGTGCGTCTCTCACTATCCTAGTAAAATAACCAACAAGGTACTCAGGGGATATCCTACCAGTATTCCTACATAGCGGCATGTATTCGAGCGAGCTGCATCACACTTCTTTTCATCATCGTCATCATCTGCCAAGAAACCTACGTCAAAGAAAATCCGGTACAGTATGCCTGTGCATCCAATTTAATTACGAAGTCTGGCTAACTAAGACAACAGAAATTAACTTCGACAAAGCCACTGTGAGAAAGTAGGCCCTGCGGGTCTGAACCTCATGTAAATTATAAGCAATAATGTTCTTCATCTTACACGGAAACATGAGACTATATATGTAATGTGACGATCGAGTTGATAGAAATCTCTTGGTTGTCTAGATATTCATGCAGAGGATTATTTCTGCGTTCCTCAAAGCAAACCGGATATGCACTTGCAACAGTTAAAATGATAATATTCTCAACGTTTCAAGTTGTTTAGATGTGGAGAACATGATAAAGTCAAATTCAAAGGAACAAAAAGGTTATCTAATTCTATGGCTGAATGGAAGAACTTTCATCGCCGGCGATGACGTCCACGCAGCCATGGGGAAACACTGGTATAAAAAGACGAGATAAATAAATAGTACGCTTTCATATCATCAATCCGCCCAGTAAATGATATGCTAACCCTCTAATCCTTACAATCTGGTTATTCGGGCTCAGCTGGGATAATATTCGATTATCCATCTTTTCTCAGGCAGCCAAGGCAACGGGGGTATAGAAGGTTCCTTTTTTAAAGCCCTTCCCGATGCCCATGTCATCCACAACACTGATATTCTGCTTTTTCAAATGTCTGATGTATATCTTGGCGGCAGCTTGAAATTCTGCAAACAGTGCATCGGGGAGTTCTTTCCATGGGATTGTAGAGTCAACCCCCTTCTTGTCTAGTAATGCTTCATAGAATGTGCGGATCGATTCCAGATCTTCCTCATCCTCCCCACCCAAAGCTGTAGCCTGGTTATCCTGTGATAAAGACGGTTTTTCTCTATTTAAACTGTTCAAGTTCAGAGCAGCTTTGTTCGAGTCCGCTTGGTTTGAGGCAGTTTGGTTTGCGGCAGGTTGGTTTGCGGCAGGTTGGTTTGAGGCAGGTTGGTTTGATGCGGCTGGATTTGATGCGGCTTGTGCTGGATTGTTCTTTCTTGGGGTATTTTGGGCGATATCTTCCGGCTCTGGCGTTTCTTGTAACGGAGTGGGGCTTCGATCATCTCTGCCTTCCCTTACTTCTCCATCCCAGTCTATATCCAAGTTTGTTCCAGCCCAGTCCCGAAAGTTCTTCACTTGGGTGCATGCCTTCTCATAGAATTTCCTGTCTGTCCGTTTACTTGAGTCCTTCCCCGCGCTACTTAGCCATTTGTATTTTGAACGGTCGATCCAGACTGACTGCACTTGCTCCTCTCCTCCTTCCAGGTCCACTAGTACGGTGCTGAATGGGTATTTATAATCGGAGTCTCTTTCCTTATTGGAGGGATTGAGCTCCTCCACAGATTTCAGTAGACCAAGCATGGAATCCCCACCATTTCTAGGTAGCCAAGCGACTGCTTTTATAGGGCCGATTTTGCCCTTATAAACGAGTGAATCAGTTTCATCATCTCTTTCCATGGCTTGTTTGTGGGGCTGTCCAAGCAGGTTTGTCACTTTCTTCACTCTATAGGAAGCTGGACTTGTACTCCAAATGAACATAGGGCTATTTCTTGGCCCATACGAGTTGAGAGAAAGTTTCCCACCTCGTGCCCTGAGCAGAACTGTTCCCTCTTCTA